CTTATAGGTGGCCATCAGATCACCCCTTAGCCTGCGCTTTTCCAGGCTAAAGAGCCCCATGGCTCTCAGCCTGTCATCGTAAGGTCTGTTTTCCTGACCTCTGATCATGCGTGTGGCTCTTCTCTGGACTCTCTCAAGCTTCTCCACATCCTTTTTGAATTGTGGAGCCCAAAACTAGTAAAGTGAGCAAAAACACTGACTTGCATCCATAGATGCTTCTCAAACAGATCCCGGGACGTCATTCTCCCACTGTACTCGGCCTTGGTGAGGCCACAGCTGGAATACTGCATCCAGTTTTGGGCTCCGCAGTTCAAAAAAGGATGTGGAGAAGCTTGAGAGTGTGTAGAGGAGAGCCACGCACATGGTCAGAGGTCAGGAAAACAGACTTTATGGTGAGAGGCTGAGAGGAATGGGGCTATTCAGCCTGGAAAAGCGCAGGCTCAGGGGTAATCTGATGGCCACCTATAAGTTTATCGGGGTGCTCATCAGGATCTGGGGGAGCAACTGTTCACCAGAGTCCCCCAAGGGATGACAAGATCGAACGGTCACAAACTCCACTGTGACCGGTTCAGGCTGGACATAAGAAAGAACTTCTTCACTGTCCGGGCCCCCAAGGTTTGGAACAGACTGCCACCTGAGGCAGTTCAAGCACCCACTTTGAATGCCTTCAAAACACATTTGGATGCTTATCTTGCTGGGATCCTATGATCCCTGCTGACTTCCTCCCCTGGGGCAGGGGGCTGGACTCAATTATCCTCTGGGGTCCCTTCCAGCCCAAATGTCTATGCAATTTAGAAGCTTTCTGTTTCCCCACCCCTACAGGCTGGTCTCTGTAGGCAGTTTGATCTTTGGGCAGTAAAGTCCCTGGTTTCAACCCAGAGCAGCCCTATTACCCTGCATGGCTGTGGGGGTGGGGGGAGGTTGAGGAGTAGCGCAGTTTGAGATGCGTGCAGGAATGACCAGACACTAGGCATGGTGTGTCCTGTGTCCACACACAACATTAAACCAGTTCAGAGTACCTGGTATGCTTTCAAAATGTTCAAGGAAGTTTAAACCCATCTAAAGTGGCCTATATGTCTGGACTCTTGGGGTTTAAAGGGTATTGAGAATATTTTGAGTGTTACATCTGTCCACATTCAGTTGCTTTTGCTGCAGAAGCACTTCAGTGACTGCAGCCTTTTAGATTTATCAACTTGAATAGTATGCACTATTAAATGTGCAAGATCAATATATTTGCATAGGTGCAGTATACTGTATCTTACTAGTCTGTCTAATTCCATTAGAAACTTCCTCATCCGAGCAGTGGAAAACAATAAAATTGCCCATTAATAAAACCATATCAGTTCGCATAGTGGAGTTTATAAATCCAGATTTGTTTTATGCAATGCCGTCTGAAACTAAAGGTAAGAAATGTGTGTTGTATTGTTAATGTAGAATGTATTTTACCCCAGTGGCAGCGATGCTTGCAAGACATGTATACAAGCTATTTAACGTTTCAAAATAGATTGCTGATATCGACACCCAACCAAAACACCTCTCAGATTGCAGGAAAATTACTGTGCATAGTTGTATTCCTGTGCTATTAAATATTTTTGATATTAGAGGTGCACCAACAAAGATTTTCTTGGCCAGTACCAATAGCTGAAGATTAACCAACTATATCAGTCCATGCTGATCCAATAACTGATTATTTAGTAATAGTGCAAGTCATTTTAAACTATGGACATAAACCTTTTTTTGTTTGTTTTGTATTTATAATACACCAGCACGCACCTCCTGCATGTACCGCCCCTCAATGAAGAAGGTGGTGACTGCCTTATTCCTGTGCATGTTGCCTCCTCGCCCATGGCTCCTGCCTGCAGCTCTGCCCCCTGTGCAGCTGTGTTGCCATCCCAGGTGGGCTGGGCAGACCCTTGCTTGGACATTGGTGCCAGGCACATTTGGAGCCCCAGAGCATGCTACTGCATCAGTGCTGGGGGGACCCCATGCAGCTGAGCTCCCATGGCCATAGGGGAGAAGCCACAATTGCAAAGGCGCTTGGTGCCTAGCAAAGCCAAGCGTCCCTTGTGCAGTGCCTTACCCTACCTGTGTGCAGGCCAGTGTTTCCGTGGCAGCCCTGGTGCTCAGGTTCCTGCTGTGCACATGGCATTGCCATGGCAGCAGTAGCAGGAGCCAGTAATGGTCTCTGTGCTGAGCACAGTGCCCTGCGACTACTTCCCAGCACCTCCTACCACCCACGTGCCAGGACCTGTAGTTTGCTGCAAGCTTGGGCTGGCAGTGGGGCAGGGCTACACTTGCCAGAGTGCTCCAGGCACACAGACATGTTTATCGGCTACAAAGACCAAAAAAGCTGATAACCAGTAATGTCATTTCTCCTTTTATCAGTGTTGATCCAATAGCCAACCGATATATTGGTGCATCCCTAGATATTGTTGAAACCTGACTACTAAACAGATTCAGTTTATTTTAATTTTAGTGGATCAAGACAAGCTCTGCACGCTAATGATTGAACTGGCAGAATATTGCTGCTCTTGTAGCAACCAGTTGTTCAAACCAAAAGTTGGTGAAGCCTGTTGTGCCAAGTTTTCAGGTGAGAGAGTTTTTAATTATTAACAGAAAATGTGATCCAAATTGATTTTGCCACTACAAATATTAGCACTTTATAAAGAGAGGATCGTCTTTTTAAAACAAGAGTGTCAAACTCACCGAGCTGGATGTGGACTACGGCGGCTCTTCCTAAATCAGATATACAGGGCCAGCAGTGGGTCAGGGAGTGGGTGGCAGTGCAGGGCTGGGGGTTCACCATCAGGGTCAATGTTCACTGGGGTCCAGAAACCCATAACTCTGCAGGAGGCCATGCCACCAACTTCGGGTAGCCCCCTGAACTACCAGCAAGGTGGATGGAATGGTTCCATGGGCTGAATCTGGCCCACAGGTTTTATGTTTGCATCCATGCCACAGGTTGGCTTCCCTGATCCCCTAAATGTTGATCCTAGTGTAAAGAGCATCATGCATTTTGTTCCATTTTTCTTCAGGTGATGGTCATTGGTACAGAGCTGTTGCTTTGCAAGTTTCTCCTTCTGAGGTGAAGGTAGTATACGGAGATTATGGAAACACAGAAACTCTACGATTTTCTAAAGTGATGCCTATTACTGCATGTCACTTAAAGCTGCCCTTTCAGATAATTAAGTGTTCACTTGCAGGTAAAAGTACAACCACATACTTTCTTAATTACTTAACTGTGGTTATTTAGTTTTTGATATAATTTATAGTTAATTCTTCTGTATTGATAATCTGGATCAGTGCATCTCGCCTCCCACTTTACTGAAAGTGACTGCATCCCTGGCCGAGAATCACCGTTGGTGCTGCCTCGGTTTACTTCAGTGCTTCTCAGCCAGATTATGCTGCTTCCAAGTGAAACTGCCTCATGTGCCTGCTGCACAAACAGCCCAGGAAGGGCTGTCTTGGGCATGAGCATCTCCTGCATTAGGGCTCTTTTAATTTGCCTAAAGAAGACAGGAGCTGCCTCCGGTGCATCTGGTCTGGCATCCCCTACACTCCTCCCAGAAACAGAAGTAGACAATACAGTTCTACCCATGCCTATTTTCAGGAGGGTCATGAGGTATGCCAGATGAGGAAATACTCACTCACAGCATGAGGCAGCTTTGGTGCCTGCTTTAGGCTGACAGAGACCCCTAGTGAAGGGAGAGCGCGTGGGGCAGTTTTACCTGCCTGATGGTGTAGCATCTGTGAGGGGGCCTCATGGCATCCCATGGTGCTGCAGAACCCTGTTTGAGAACCCCTGATATAGATGAAGTCTCAGTTTTTTAGCACTTGTAAAGGCTATTTTAAAATGACTGCTAAAAATTTTTCTGGAACTGATTTATTCTGCAGGAGAAAAACCATATGGAAAAACTAAATTACTCCTAATTTAATGGAAAATTGGAATACTGGTATTAACTTTAACTTTGCAGAGTACTTCCTAAAAGTTTTTACTGGTGTATAGTTAAAATTCAAATGACGGTGGAAAAGAGATTTTTGCAGCTGTTTACAATCCAAACTAGAACTTGGTTGACTTTTTTATTTTCCAGGGATTGCGCAATTTGATGGGGACTGGTCTGGATTAGTGACAGATTTGCCAAAAACACTTGCAGGGGAGAGTGTCACAGTTACAGTGAAAGGGATCACAGAGAATATTCACGTGGTATCTGTGATGAAAAGCTTTAAAAATGGTAATCTAAATGTAGATGATGGATTAGTAATGGAAGGTTTGGCCAAACCTCCTGCTACTGGAAATCCAAGAATTCTACCCCAAGGTAATATTTTTTTCCACAAAAAGATACTCTGCTTCTAAATTCTGGTGTTCAAAAAAAATGATATCTGCACATGTACAGTTATCCTTATGAAATCCTGCTGCATTTAGACTGTGGCAGCATTTTTCAAACTATTTGAATTTATGCCATCTCATAGTAAAGTTGGCCACTCTTGTGCTCTCCTACATCAGAAGGTAAATTTTTGTTCAGTTATGTGCATGTGTGTCTTTACATGATCTGGAGAGTTTTGACCCACCTCCTCCCCTGGTTCATCCTTCAAGGGATCTTGCCTCAGTGGGGGAAACATTGGCCTATAGACTGTTCAGCTAATTAACAATAATCACACTTTACTGATCTGTTTATTTCATTTTCTTTTCATATAGAGCATGCAAGTGAAACTAAATGCTGCTGCACAGAATTAAGAAAGCAAGTAAGGTTTCAGATTTTATGTGAAGCTTCCACACGCTTTCCTAAAATTTTTTTTTTTTTTTTAAAAACAACAAAGGCTCAGGAAAAGACTACTTAAATTTCATAGCCAGTTACAAAACTGAAGAAAAGTGCATTGTGTCCAAAAAACTTCTAAAGCTTCCAATATGACCTTTTTAAAGTGGTGGAATAAGTCAAAATGCCATAATAGGGTAGGGAGCAAGGGGAGTTAGCTGTGTGTTCTTGGTCAGGTCCAAGTATATAACAGATGCCGTTAAAACTCTAAGCTGGTGGATGACAAATGAGGCATTACATTTTGGTACGTACT